CCCCAAAACCCCAAAACCCCAAAACCCCTCAGTTCTCATATGTTTACATAGAAAATTATAAGTTAATCATATTAAATTAATATTTTTTCCACTTAGGTAATTTAAAGTGGAAAGAGTTGATGATCAATAGACTGATGTGAAAAATTGTCTTTAACCCTTTCTATCTCTCTAGCTTGTGTAGTTTCTTACTACATTCTTGAGCATTTAATTGCTCTCCATTCTCCATTTCTTCATTTCATTATTGCTCAGATTCATGAAATTATCGGATGGATTTACTCTTGGCCTCATCTGCTACTGTGCAGAGAAAATAACTCTTCTGTCTGGCTAATACTTCATACTCAGCATATTTTATTATTACTAATGCTGCTTCATTCTTTGATCCTAAAGCTTTCCCATTTGGTCTACATTACATCTATCAAGTTATTACACTATGTCGGGGTTGTTTTATCTTTGATTGATATCTGAAACTGAGAAATTATATTGACTTAAAAGTTAAGTGTTTGTCTAGAAAGCTGAGTATGGCTATGTAGTAGTGCTTTCATCCTTCATTTTCTTTTCAGATAGCTTATCCTCATTCTTTTATGAGACCTTCTAGAGATCACTTGTTGAATTAGCTTGATTTTAAGATACTCTTAGTACAAATGCTTAAATTTCTTTTTGTAGTTTTAATTTATTTTCTGAATGAAGCAGCAATTATTCTTCTGATTCCAAATTACTTTAGGTATTCTCAGATTGGGGATTCGGCTTTACAGATAATCCTCTGTTTAAATTACTGAAATCATTTATGTTCGAGAATACTATCTTCTTTTAGACTTAGGAGGTAGCATCCTTCTTTATATTTGCATCTGAAGATAATGGAGTCAAATTCTTTTGACTATTTAAATCAATAGCTGAATCTAATTAAGCATCAATAATTTCTATATCATTTTCTATTTTTTAAGGGAAAAATTATTTTGGAGTGGAATCTTGACCTTATTTCGAATATCTTCTATTTTTATTTATTGGAGTCATAGTCTTATTCTGGATTGTATTCATTCCAAAATTATTGCCAGTTTATTTATTGCTCATATTGAAAATTACATTTTGCTTTAAAATATCATTACTGATCATCTGAATATTTTTTTGCTGCATTTGCATCATTTGGTCCTGTGAAACCCTTTCTGATCTAACCCTTATCGTTCTTATTTTTCTCTAACTCAAATCATAATTAATCTTGGCCATATAGCTTGACCTATTCGGAGATATTGATCTTTGTTGAGAATTTTTATCTTTTTACTAGTCAAAGGATTTATCCATAAATAAGGTCTTGTTTAGTTTTTAATTTATGAATACTGAGTTTGTAGGGCTTATCATCAAAGATGCATTATTAGAATTTAAACACATAGTGCTAGTGTCTAATTTTATGTTTCTGACATACCTTTTCTTTTAAAGCAGAGACTTAAATCGAAGAGACTAGTCGAGTGTATGACTATTCTACTCTTTTATTTTATTTTATATAATATTCAAGAATTCATGACTATTCTCTCTATCATATTTGATAATCTTTTTCTTAGAATCTTTTTTGGCTCTCATCCGAAGTATTTTATTTTTAACAATTTCTAGAGGGGATATCGGACTTACAAACAGGGAATTCTTGTTATTTACTTGAGTGTTGGGGCTTGGTCTTCTTACTGACCGAGACCTTTCTTCTCTAGAAAAAGCAAATGAAGGCCGATTACTTGAGTAATTTTTTTGGCCTTCAAAAGTGACCATTTTAGTTCCATTGCTTTGTTTTTCCAAATTGCTACCCCTTAGATTTGAAGTGCTTTCTCTAGCAGAATCATTTCTAGAAGCATTTTAAATTCTCAATTACTACTGCTATTATTACTTATAACTACTGCTTACGCTATACTTTTTGGAAGTGAATGTTGAAGCTTTATCATATTCATTACTTCCACTAAAGGCTTAATTATATTGCTTTAGGGAGGACTATGCTTAAGTTTATTAATTCTTGAGGCTTGTAGTATCTATAGTAAGTTGAATCTAAGTTTGACCCAAATGGTATTAATTACTAACAGATTAGATATCTTCATTTTGATTTTTCTTGATATTGTATTATTTTAGATTCATCTCACTTGTTGGGTATAGTTATAAAGTAGTATTCTTCTTATTTGCTCTAATTGTGCTATCTTTCTTACTGATTGGGCTAGCTCTTTTCTGTCTAGTGATACTATTCCTCTTTTTTAATGATATTTTATTAGAATACTTATTAATTAAGTCAGTCATGCTAAATTAAAGCTGATCTTTTGCATTTTTTTATTTGTCCATTTTAGATTACATGTGCAGTTTATAAACAATTCGAGCTGCCTTAATTTTTTCTCTCTCTCCTGATTCACTATCACTGCAAAGCAATTTGAATTGCTTTATTGTTTAAACAGCATCATCAAGTTTTATTAAATAGGGTGTAGGTGTAACAGGAGTGCCAGGTGTTTTTATATCACTAACTTTTTTTGCTGATTATTTCCTAAACATTTAATGTTTTCCAGGCAAGTCTTTTTATCAATAATTTTATATTAGTTTTAATTGATAAACAGATAAATTATTTTAACAAAATATTGCAATTAAAAGTATGAAGGGGTTTTGGGGTTTTGGGGTTT